TCACTATCTTATTATTTATATATAGGGAGATGTGTGAATGCAAGCCCCTCTAACTTTTACTTACCTGAACTATTTAATAGTGACAAGATAAGAAGATCTATTAACTGTTAATAATTTCCTAAGGATCTTCACACAGGCAGGGCAGAAATAATATTATCCCTAAAGCTAGCCACATCTTGCAAGCAAAATACCATTCACTTTAGTTTAAGTAGCAGAGAGTAGGGAATGCAGATTAACCCCATGACTCTTCTACCTAACATAATATAATAGAAGCACCTAGCTATCTAAGCACTGCTTCTTCCCCCTACCCACTGCTTTACCTGATCTTGCTGACCACCATCCTAGCAACCACAATATGATGTCGAAGCCACGCTGTATTGCTCTGTTACCGTCGGGGATGAAGAAGTATGGCTCGATATGGCCACTTCCTACAAAATGCGGCAGAAGCAGTTCAAGTCAAGACTGATTCAGCCCTCTCATGCCTGGAAATTATCAGCCAGGCGGGAAGAAACTGGGGACAGCAGGGAGGATGAGACCGCATTCCGCCGAGATAATGCCGAAGACCTTAACATATAGTATTGGAGAAACATATCGTAGTCATATACTAGAATTCGAAGAATCGCCCTGACTTTATTTACAGCGCGGCGCTATCTGCGGACTATACCAGTATAGGCTCTGATTCTTATACCGACTTCAACCGTGACATGGCATCAGACGCTAGTCTTGGGCTCGTCTACAACTGGTATACCAGTTAGGAAAAAAATAATAGCTGCCCAGGAGATAGAAGTATACAGTACCCAGTAAGGACATGCCTCACAACTCCTTGACAAACCCAACCTCCACCACCCGATCAGCCTGGACATTCAGATGCTGGATCTTGGTTCTGCTGGCGTCCCGCATCCACAGGAATGCCATCAGTACCATCCGACGAAAGAAATTGGTCTCCCGTGCAATGCGAAGCTGCTCCTTGCCCACTATGTAGATAACCTGCGACTTCCACGCACGATGGAGAGCATCCGTCTCCTTGAGCACGTCTGCCGAGCTGACGGACGGGCTCTCCCGAGCCAGAAATTCCCGGATCTGATCCAGCACCAGGATTCCCAGATCCGGGGTGATGACCTCGTCCGTGTAGCCGTGGCGAACGATAAGCCTGAAGCAGTTCGGGATAGGTTGCTTTTCTGTCCCGTTACCGCACGTGTGGCAGCGGGTGACAGTGTATCTCTCACTCGGTGCAACGGTTGGAATGGACAAGGGCCGTAGGTGGAAGAACACGGACACCTCGGGCGCGGCGCCAAACTTCTGGATGAAATGGAGGAAGACGGCTGGGGTGGTGGCGGAATTGCCAGACTTATCGAAGAAGATGCCGAGCCCGGTGATGGGGGTGATGGTCGAGCCGCCAAAGTCCGGGTGGAGAAAGAGCTGGTTGTCGCGCAAGAGCGTCGTCCGGGACAGGGGCACATTGTCGGATTCCTCGGCGGTCCATTGTTCTTCTTTGCCGTACCGCCACAGCACAAACATGAGGGTCAAGGCAACTCCAAGCATGAGGGTGAACCAAGCACCGTGGGGAACTTTGCTCAAAGCGGCGGAGAGAAACATGCCGTCCCACAGGGCGAAGACAATGAATACCGGCAGAACAAGGGAGATGGGCAGTCTCCACACAATGAGAGCAACTACCGTCACCATGCAGGTAGTGAGGAAGGACACAAGAATGACGCAAGCACCGTACGCTTCTCCCAGGGCAGTTGTCTAAGGCATCATGAGTCAGTCGCATCAATCAAGCTGTCAAGGGGACTTACATTGTTATACACAGCAGTCACGATGACCGTGCCGATCATCATGAGCCAGTTGGCCATGGGGATGTAGACCTGACCATGGAATATCTTTGAGACGTGATAGGTTTTGACTTGGGGAAAGTAGGAAAGCTTCATGATTTGCGACAAAAGCTACGGTCATGATTAGGATTGTTCGGAGACAAGGGTGTAACAGGCATACCTGAAATGACCCGGTGATGACAGCCTGACTGGCGACAATGCAGGCAAGGACTGCGACCACAAGACTCGGATACAGCATACCTGGTGGAACAGTGAGATAGAACGGATTGGCGTATGCACTGGGGACACGGCTGATATGGGCGCCTTGTCCTATATACTAAGCAATGACCATTAGCATCATATAATCGCATTCGAGGTTCAATTTAATGACTCAAACACACACCGAAATCAGGAGGCATGGGTACGCAAAACAGAGCCAGGAAATCTGCACAGCTCTAAGCAAAAAATCAGCATCAGGTTCTTCGCAATATATACGACGACCTAAGACAATACCGCTTGCTAAAAGCACCGAGATCCGCGAACAAGGTTTCAACACCCGTAAAGGCAAGCAGGATGCCACCAAGCTGTAGCCAGCCAGCACGTCCATTTCGCACCAAGAATGCTCCGGCAAAGTAGGGCGAGAAGCCTTTAAGGACAGATGCATCGTACATGACAAGATTCTAGGATACATTAGTGGTAACGAGTGATTCTGACATCGTTGGACTTACATATATCCCAAAACTCAGGTTGAATAACAACCAAACAATCACAATCGGTGCGAAGGTGTTTGCTATCTTACTGGTACCAAAGGGTTGGATTAAAAACACGCCGACGAGGATGGCGCAAGAAACGCCAACCACTGTCGAGGAAGAGATGTCAGGATTGACGACGGTGATACTAGAGAAATCAGTCAAATGGTCACTTTGATAACGACGATGAGACACACCCTTGAATGGCCCCGAGGATTGACTGCGCCGGTGTCAAAACACCGTCTAAAATCGAATCAGTATAGACTCAACGATGCCTATCGAGGATACCTTACCTGCCAGCAGCAGTGAGACACCAAAAACCCCGACCACCTTGAATGTCCACTTCATGAACGTGCTCCGTTCTATAACATTGCGCGTCATCAAGTTCGGCTTTTGTAAATCATCCGTATTATATCGTTGCATGCGAACCATTTTGTAGTGACGAGGATCGCGGCGAACTAGATTGGCCTATTTTCAATGAGCACAGGAATTCAGCCGTAGATGAGCAAGCCGCAACATACGTAGCGGGAAATCAGCGAGTACAAGGCAAATGTACCACCTTCGCCTTCGTCATCTGCGTTCAACACAATGCAAGCGTATTTGACCGTGACCATGATGGTAAGGGACCAGATAATCAAGGAAACCGCACCGAGGACGTCTTCACGACTCGGTTCACTGCTGAAGGTGGATGAGTAGACATACAGCGGGCTGGTCCCAATGTCTCCATAGATCACTCCAAGGGATTGGTATGATAGCCTGATCATTATCAGTTCAACGGCATGCACTAGAATTGTGGTATAGGACTGATTACGAACCAAGCTAGTGTCCATCCCCTGAACACCTGCGGGCCATCAGTATCCTGCAAGGAACAAACTGAGTTGCACCGTACTGACCTGTTTTTTGTGAAAGTCCCTCTCATCATAATCTCCACCCTCAGTGACAGATGCTAGTTCAACATCCACGATCTTCTGATCGTGAGTGAACTTGCGCTGCAGAGTGTTTTCGTGATGTGCTGGCCGGCATGGGAACACGCCGCCGCCAGACGAAGCAGGGAAGACAGCTTCAGTGCCGTCGCTTGATGCGTCTGCGTTTGTCATAGCAGCTGAATGTTTCTTTTCTTTTTGCGTATCCGTCAGAACTGGAAAGAGATAAGACAAAGGCCCTCTCAGCAGGGGAACAGAGCTACTCTTAAGGCCTCGGGCAGCGCCATCGAATCCTTCAACATGCTTAGGTTTTGCTTAAGTCTGTTAGCTGGGTCATTCTCGTCATCGACAAAGATAGGGCTTGATTATGTTTGGTCAGGAGAGACCAGTCTGGCAGCAGTGAGAATTCTGGATCGTGGTAGATATTGGATGCTATAAATCCCGCGGACTCACACCATATCATGCAGATTTCAATGCTACTCTAGAGTTCCACGATAAAATGATCCTGATAGTGACTAGCTTCAATTGACAGAGATAGGCTATTCCAGCAAGCAAGGACAGCCAATGCCATGGACACACCTGTAAAGTCCACACGGAGTTTGCATTGTATGAGGCAATTGTCTCCTCCACACAAATTTCATCCAGGTATCTTCTTGATCGCAATAATGCCTCATATTTCTTAACATCAAAATGACAGTCAGCTTTGTTCCTGATAAGCCTTCAAAAGCAATAAATTCGGATTATGCAAGGTTACCATTACCCAGAGACAGCAAATTGAAACGTTGTAAAAGAATCATCCTGCTATCCTTCAGTTGAGTACCATCCGTGGCTACCACAATTTCCATCTCAGTACCGGCTGGACTCGGCGTTTGCTTGTGTGCAAAGCAGAAGGACATAATGTCCCTTCCTGGCCGCGCTACGTGTAATTTCACGTAGCCTTCCTCTGCCATATATTGCACACGAATGACATTCTGTGTCTCCATGTTATTGGGCAAATTCTGAGCCTTGTGTGTGTTTTCAAATGACCATAGCAGAGTGAAAGGCATATAGCATAGCTAGATAATCAAGTTTCCATGTAAGAATATTATGATATAAGCTTACCCAAACTTCATACTCACCTCACAGTGAGAGTCACCCTCGACCGAGACATTGACATTGAACGTCTGCCCAAATTACTGGCGCAACGGGCCCCCTATCTCACGAACTCTGGGTGGTTCGCTTCTTCCTTCACTTTTGCATTGTCCATAATGAGCCTGTGTAGATGGTCTGCAAGTTCATGGACCTGTCGATTCTGATGAGGCGGTGCCTGTCTGTGGTACATCCATATGAAAATGTTGCCATAGACCAAAAAGATATTCAGCCTAGATTCCTCGTCCCATCCTCAACCTAGGTTCAGCTGGCCCCGTACGTGACGCGAAGGTGGTCCAGGGAACACATGTTTCAAGCGATCAAAGGATTATCACGACTTGTATTTCATCTTCATGATAGGGTTTGTCTCCGTCACCATCCCCACTGGTTTAGGATCGTAAGGTCCATTCGGCAAGAGTGCCCCTGGCGCTCATATAGAGCGTCGAATACGCCTTTTTCCAGCCCAGTGTCAAGATCTCATCATTCTCATAATTGAAAAATCGAGCCAGCTCGGCATCGGGAGCTTTCTCTTCTGCGGCTGGAGGCGGCGCGGTGCAGCCTGTAGGTATTATATGCTTAACTCCTCTGGCGCCTCCCGGCATGCCCACGGTCAAGTCAGAAAATGCAGGAACGAGCTCAAACTCCATTTTCGGTGTGTGAGTCGACATCGCCTGCATTTCCCGCATGTGGCATCCCTGTAAGACTGTACAGAGGAGTCGCCAGTCAATGGCTACGTTCATAAATTAAGTTTCCAGAATCTTTCTGAACTTTCGCCAAACTGTAATGCCAGAAACAAGTACAGACAATGCTTTTTTTTTATCTGACGAGAAAGAATCTGCATGTGTGTGTGTGTGTGTGTGTATATGTGTATGTATGTGCATCAGCTTGTCACATTATGCCCAGGTGGAGTCTGCGTATGCGTGGTGATACATCCAATCAGATTTACTGCTAGATGAATCAGTTGCTACTTGTACAGAGTACAGAGTATTTAATTGCAGGCTGAAATAAAGCCGCAGTCCTCTGCTGGTGGCCCATATCAGATCCTCTAAGTCCTTGCCAAACTCCGCCACCTCACCCATCATGTTCTGGTGGAAGGAAGGGGGGGTATCATCGCAACAATATCAGCTGCCGCACTTGTGTCCTCTTAAGCCCGAATTACGAGATCGTTCAAGAAAGAGAAATCAAACATTCATGAGAATGCAATGAGGTTCCGTCCCTGAAGCACACCCCTCACCTGCAGCTGCACCTTTTCAAACCTCATGAAGGCGCATGCCTCACTCTCTAAGTGGTTGAATAATCCAGCCAACGTGACAAACTGCTTCTCACACTTGCCCTTCAAATTCGGACAACGATACACCTTCTGCTTGTGCACAGGCGAATTGAGATGTGCGTTCAGGGCGTTCACGGTCTTGAACTTGTTGTGGCACATATAGCACTCCCAGGAGGAGCCATTGAATGCGCTGTTAGTAGCCGAGTACTCGACGATGTCTTCCTTGTGCCATTCAATCTGCTTGTTGGTGATGACGCCGTGTGGGTCATGCTCGCGAACCACGCGGAGGATGGTTTCACGGTTAAGCCCCGGGGCACGAGGGCAGGAACCCCTCTCAAGGTGGTGGGTGAGGCCGCTGGCGGAGGTGTAGTTGACCTTGCAGAAGGGGCAGGGAATGTTAGTGCCGCGGTGGATCTTTGAGTTGAGGTGCTGCAGGCGGGCTTGTCAGTATTTAATGCACTTTGAAGGGGTGTTGTCGGGGTGAGCAGTCTTACCATCCGCAGGTTGTTCTCGTTCTGGAATCGCAAGCCACAACTTTTGCAGTAGTTCTTGTAGTGAGCCTGGTTCTCCATGTGCTGATTCGCTGCGTTTTGCGTGTGGAACTTCAGGCCGCACGTTTCACATGGTATCTTCGGCGTCCAATGTCCCAACGCATTCATGTGTTAATTCGCCGCGGTCTGAGTGTGGAATTTCTTCACGCATGTCTCACAGGGGATTGTAGGTGTCCAATGTCCAACGGCCGACATGTGCTGATTCGCTGCATTCTGAGTCCGGAACGTGTTGGTGCAAGTCTCACATTTGAAGCGTGGCGCCCAGTGATCTCTGTCGTTCATGTGCTGATTGCAAGCACGCCAGGTACGGAAGGTACTGGTGCAGGTCTCGCATTCGGGCCAGTGGCCATAGTCGTACATGTGTTCCTCGCACTCATCTTGGTACCAGAAGGTGGCCGTGCAGGTCTCGCACTCGTACATTTTGGGCAGTGGTGGTCAAGACGACGGCATCTAATTGAAGTGGGCGATGAAGGGCAGGGAGGGGAAAGCCTTTCAAGCAGATTGTAGGTGTCGCCTTGCAATCGGACGATGAGATCAGAGAAGACTCCGGAATTGAAAAAGCTAGGAGTCATCGAGCTAATGCTTTCCAGCAGAAGCTGATAAAGGTAATTCCTTTCCCCTTCAGGCCAGTCTTGAGAACCACCGTTGAGAGATCATAGTCACGTCATTTGGTGAACTGTGCACAGACGGAGCAAAGCGGAGAAGGGGTACTGTCACATGACACACTAGTTAGAATACCCTTCTCTTAGGCAGCTCCACCAAGTAGCTAGTTAGGAATGACAGCTCCCCCTCCGCGCGCTGCCTGACACCCGCCCGGCAACCACCACGCGTCTCGACGCGTCAACAACATGGCACGACGTAACAACCAACCTGGTGGCCCTCTACAGGCTGCACTACAGGAGACA